GCTTTAGAACCAGGCATGGTTGACGACTTTGTGGGATAAATGACTGCACAACTAATTAGTGGTAGGACAATTATTGAATTTATGTCACTCACAGAACTTCCCCTACTTCATCTCAGAGCTGCCAAGAGGAGACAAAAGAGTTTTGTGAGAATTGTTATAAAATATTAACATATCGTTTGTGCTTTATTGGTTTATGAGGACAAAAGAAGACTATGTTGCTTACTAGTGGTTTATAATGCTACTCATCACAGACACAAAGCCACAAATTCTTGGTTAAGTATTGGTGGGTTCTCTGATTTCCATGGTCTTAGATTTTATGATTTTGAATTACAACTCTGGCTTACAGTTGATAGAGCAACACTTGGATTGGTTTAAAGTAAACTAGGAAATTACTGGAAAATTATTGTTTTCACCTGTGAGAAGGGTGGTGTGATGTGTGTGGCTGGATCTTCACCACTTGTAAGCTTTATGATTTCTTCCTTATTTCTCATTAGAATTCCTCTCAGTTGTGGATCTGTCCTTCAGTATGATGGCCAGCAGCTTCTAAGTCCCAGTCTCCTTGTTTTCTTCCATTAGGGAGGGACCTGACTCATATTCTTGCACTGTTGGATTGTAAAACAGTAGAAAGATTAGATTTAAATCAGCTTTGATCTGGTGCCTGGTTGAAAACATGACTGGACCATTGACATCAGGTGTCTAGAGTGGGGAAAACCCTCCTCAGGGAAGCAGGGAGGGATTCCGAGCCCAGAGAGGGCTCTTGCTATGCTCCTGCTCTGACTGCACACGTTCTTTCAGGCTAGACAGACTCATTTGCCAACCCAGACCTAACCCTCTTCAGTAGTTATAGCTGTCTTTTTCTCACATATCCATCTGTTGTAGGCTGGTCAGGGGTGGTGGAGGCTGGTTGTTTAACGGGCTAACCTGAGAGCAGTGTGAGAGATTCAATCAGTTTGTTGATGACTGCCATCATGTTGGAAGTATTGGGAAAGAGTCTTGTGTCATATCTGTTCTACTGAAGCATTTCCTTGTTTTAAATGTACCCAAGAGGCTAAGAAGGTGCTTCATCTTCTCTCCAGGAGAACGAAGCACAGAAGTTTGTTCTCCACCAGGTCTCCACATAGCAAGGGTGAGGTGGGACTGTGCATTCTGCTTGAAGTCTGTCTTTTCAATGGAAGTACTTTGTAAAAATTTGCAAAGACTGACACTCAGAAAACTGAACTTGAAAGTTTCTGGATTCTGTAATTCTTTCCATGCCGTTTCCTCCCTTTGGACTCAGCATTTACTCTATTACAGACACTGTGTTATGCTCAAGGGAATTCACAAGGGCTGAAGAGGAAGTTTTATCCCCAAGGAGCTTTTTATTTAATGGCAATCAGATAACTCAATCAACAAGTTTCAGGGGAATCTGATAGAGGGACATTTTACAGAGGTTTAGGTGGTGATTTGGGGTACAGACGATGAGCAGCTAAGTTAGACAGGAGAATCTGGAGTTGACTTTGAAGGATAGGAGGAGAGAGAAACAGTGATCTAAGGCAACCTCCAAATGCTGTGGGCACAGTTAAGAGTATGTCATGAGTTGGGAGAAGAAGATACCCCGTAAGGTGGAACTAGAGCACATATCAGAGTCCACACAGAAGAAAGGATCAGGGGAATGCTGTCAGATAAAAGGTGATATGGCCTCAGCCACAATAATAGCCTGGAATAGGGAAGTACAAAATGGCTCTAGCCAATGCCAGGAAGGTAGAGTCCTTGGGAGGAATTGCCTTTGTAGGTGCAGACAGATGGACAGATGTAAGGAAGGGAAGCGTTTGTTCAGTTCTTACTCTGGGTTGCACAGCTGGGAGAGTGCAGGTGTTTAGAACAGATGCAAGCAATAGGGAGTTTAACTGCTGGAAAGTGGAGAGGGGCTCTGACTTTCGGGAGGATCTTAACTCTTTTACTTTACCTTAGTGGGACAAAGGCCTATTGAAAATGGTGATGAGCCTGATTTATCAAAGCAACTGCGTTCTTTTAATCAACTTAAACTATATCATGCCATATTTGTAGGTGTTTTGATTTTCCAAATTCTTAACATAACATAAAAGTAAACCACTCTAGAAACTGGCGGTGTTAGAGGGATCCTATCTGAAGGGATTATCTGTCTGTTTGAAGTGCACTTGAAATGAAGCAACCGTTCTGGAACACTCACTGCAAAGAAATAACCATTTAATGTTAACCATTATTATTTTATAGTTCACAGAAACCAGCATTTTATCTATAATTAGATTCAGCTCTAAGTACCAGAAGGTGCCCAAACAGTGGTAGTTTAGACAAGATAAAAATCCAATTTTCTCTAATGTCAAAGTCCAGATTCTTGTTATTAGTGCCTGGAATACCCCATAAAGTTCCTCCTCCAATTTAAGCATTATCTCTACTATTTATCTTTACCTAGTCAAACCTTGATTACTTCATAGTAAATGTTTAGCAACTTTTAAAATTGTGACTTCAAAGAACAATGTCCAAGCACATAAGCAATTAAGATGATATGATTAGAGGTGAGGGGAGATTGGAAACTTCTATTTATAGATCAGCAGAATTGAGGTGGGAGGTGGACATTTTGAAAGCTGCAAGCCAAAGGATCAAGCCTGTTAGGGAGGAGTCCCTAGAAGGAGAAGTAGAGAACTCAATGCTACTTGAAGGTAGGAGAGAGAGAGACAGAGAGAGACAGAGAGAGAGAGAGAGAGACAGAGAGAGAGAGAGAGAGAGAGAGAGAGAGAGAGAGAGAGAGAGAGAAATGCCAATGGTGTCAGTACTGAGTCACATCCTGAAGCCCTTCAAACAGTTTATTGTCCTGGAGGGCTTCCTAGGTTTGGACTTGGTGCCTTAGTCTCCTCACCTGGTTGGCTTTTTACTTTGGTCTGCTTGTGGCACTAGATAGATCACTAGGAACACTCTGTCACAGGACCTGACATCTTTCCCCTTTAGCTAAAGAAGCAGATAAGGAGAGCTGGACCAGCTGTGGAGATGCTGGATCCTTCCTGGGACCCTCAGACTCGGGCTGGGATGAGCACTGTGGAGAGAGGAAGAGAGGCCCGCGTAGGTCAGCTGGTTATCCTGGTTGATTGCTTTCTCGGATCTCCTCTGACTTCACCAGCCCCAAGAGAGCCTTTCTGAGGAACAGCAGCTGTAAATTCACCCAGGGATTGAAGTCTACATCGGGTGCTGTGTTAAAAAGCAAGACAAATGTTTGCCCATCAGGAAGGGGAAATGAGTTAGTATAATCTTACTCCCTAAAGAATTTCCTTTCTTACTACTGTTATTTTTGTTTATGAAACAGTTTCTTCTGTGTAGCCTAGGCTGGTCTTGAACTTACTATGTAGTCCAGGCTGACCTTAAACTTACAATTTACCCGCTCCAATCTCCTATATAATATGCTTGTACACATGTGCCACTACACAGTCTAAGAATTCTTATTCTGTTTGTGTGTGTGTGTGTGTGTGTGTGTGTGTGTGTGTGTGTGTGATCTATACATGTGTACATGGGTGCTTGTCTGTGTTGAAGCTAGAGGTCAACACTGGAAATCCTCTTCTCTCTCTACCTTTTTAGAAGACAGAACCATTCACTGAATCTGAAGTATGCTGATTCAGCCAATGGACTAGCCAGTGAGCTCCTGGGATCTGACGGTCTCCACTCCCCAGCACTGGGGTTCTAGGTACAAGCTACCCATTGCTGGATTTTACATGGGCTTTGGGGATCTGAACTCAGGTCCTCATTCTTGCACAGAGAGCGCTAAGACGTCTCAGCGTAAGAATTCTTATTCTTGAAAGACAAGCTTAGAGGAAACTCACATTATATTCCTCTGAAGACATTTCTTGGCTCTCTTTTTCAGCCTTTCAAAGCATCTGGCAGTGATTTCCATTCGAACCGGGTTGACAGAACATCTGGCCAGGCCCTACAGTAGGACCACGCCTGTAACTAGTTTTTTCCCCCTCTCCAAGACAGGGCTTCTCTGTGTAGCTTTGTGCCTTTCCTGGAACTCACTTTGTAGACCAGGCTGACCTGGAACTCACAGAGATCTGCCTGGCTCTGCCTCCCGCGTGCTGGGATTAAAGGCGTGCGCCACCACCGCCTGGCCATAAATAGGTTTGAATTCCCACAGTCATCTGCTCTTCAATATTGCTGAACAGTTCATCATTGCCTCTTGCCCCCCCACCCTGCTCCCAGCAATCTTCTTGTCCTTGTAACTCTACTCATTATATTTGACTTCCTTTTTTGTTGTTCCGCTTGTAATGCTTTCCCTGGGACCAGATGCCGTGTTTGTTTAGGCTCTTGGTCCACAGAAGTCACGTAATTTCCCGCTGTGAATTTATCTTTATTGCTTTGGGGCAACAACAGAGCAATACAATGCAGTTGTTTTATAGGAAACACTTAAGAGAAGTGGCTGGCGAAGACACATCAGCTTGCAGGCTGTGGAGTACTGGATTGTTTTTCTATGGCCACATAACAAATTACCTCAAATAATGGCCTACATTACCGTCATTCCTCTGGATCTGTGAGAGATCTGCTTTGACGCCCACCAATAACAAAGTCTGAAAAGTTGGGGAAGTGTTTTTGCATAACCTACACGCATCCCGCTGTGTACTGCAAATGATCTCTTGATTACTTAGAACGCTGAGCACTGAATGTCAAGACTATGCAATTGCTTGTTATTCTGAGCTGCTCAGGGAAGAAAGACCAAAACTATAATCTAAGCATGCTCAGTATACAGGTGCAGTTTTCTTCTTATGTTTTTAATCCACATGTGCTCGAGTATAAAGATATAGAACCCATGGGTTCTGGGGGCACTTATCTGTATGAGTGTCGTCTTACAGTTCTAGACCTTAGCAATCCAGACTGGCTAAATTTCTCATGGAATCTAAATTCAAAATCAAGGTGTCATCTGGGTTGAGCTCTTTTATCTGGAGGCTTTGGGAAAGAACCCATTTCCAGGATTTAGCTTCTTTGTGATTGTGCCATGGAGTCCTCATGGCTTTGGCTGGTGTGCTGTTTAGTGCTATGTCAACTTGATACAAGCAGGAGTTATCTAAAAGGAAGGACCCTCAACTGAAAAAAGGCTTCCACAAAATCCTGATACAGGATCTTAATCAGTGATTGATGGGGGAGGATCCAGCCCGCTGTGGGTGGTGGTCCTGGGTTCTATAAGAAAGCAGGCTGAGCAAGCCATGATGAGCAAGCCAGTAAGTAGCACTCTTCCATGGCCCCTGCACCAGATCCTGCCTTCTGGTTCCTGCCCTGTGTGCGCTCCTGTCCTGACTTCCTTCTGGGATGCTGTATAATGTGGAAGTGTAAGCCAAATAAACCCTTTCCTCCCCAACTTGCTTTTATCATGGTGTTTCATCCTAGCAGTGGTAACCCTGACATCTGGTCAGCATATGGAATAACATGGTTCACCATGGCATCGTCACATTGTATTGTTTTTGGCTCATCTTCCCACTTCTGGCTGGTTTCCATTCTTCCTTCAGTTAGTGCCCCTTCCACTTTTCAATGTCATGCATTCAGTTACCCTATCCCATTTTCTTAAAATCTTATGTGCTTCTTATTTCCAGTTCTGTGACCTGCAGACACACATATGTGAATGCACATATACATGGACATATGCCCACAGACGCATACAATTTTAAAAGAAGGTTCTACATGTGTCAGAAAATGTGATATTTCTTTTTGCTTGTTTGTTTTTGAGATAGGTTTCACTATGTAGCCGTGGCTAGTCTGGAGCTCACTATATAGACCAGGCTGACCTCAAACCCACAGAGATCTGCCTGCCCCTGATTCCCAAGTCCTGGGATTTAAGATGTGTGCCACCACCACATCCAGCCTTTTAAATCATTTTTTTCTTTTAGTTTTTATTTTATATATTTAATGGGGGTTTCATTTGCTTGTGTGTCTGTGCACACATGCTTGCCTGGTGCCTATGGAGATCAGGAGAGGTCGTTGATTCCCTGGAACTAGAATGAAGGATGGTTGAGAAGTAGAATAAAGTAGAAAAACAAGTATTAGATACTGATTTATTGCAATATTTGGATAATTTATTTACTTAAATCGCTGATCATACTGCCTATTTGCCAAGCATGACTTCACTTGCTCCCTGAAACAGAATAGCCTGAAGAAACAGCTGAAACCATGGGCCTTGCCCTTACCAACCTGCTGAGTGCCACCTAAGCTGTAAAATTGCTTGCTTGCCCACTTCATCTGGTAATTTTAGAGAATAAAACGAGAATACAAGCTGGACCCAAGACCGGGGACTTCCAGGAGCTGCCTGGCTTAGGTCTACGGGTGACATCACTTCCACTCTCACTGTGTCAGAGTGCTTATTCCATGAAGATTCCCGCAACAGTTGTGAGCCACCATGTGGGTGCTGAGAACAGAACCCAGGTCATCTACAAGAGCATCAGGTGCTCTTCACTGCTGAGCCATGTCATGGGGTAGTTCTTTCTGAGTTTGGATGATTTCATTTAATGGAATTTCCAACCCAGAGCACCTGACGGGTGAGATGGACACTCAGAGCAGTTCTGATTTGCATTTTTCTGATGGCGGTGGCTGTTGACCACCTTTTCTAGTGTTTATTAGCTGTTTGTGTTTCTCTGTAAGCTGTCTATTCAGTTCATTAGTGTATCTTTTTTTTTGTTTGTTTTTTTTTTGTTTGTTTGTTTGTTTTCGAGACAGGGTTTTCCTGTGTAGCTTTGCGCCTTTCCTGGAGCTCACTTGGTAGCCCAGGCTGGCCTTGAACTCACAAAGATCTGCCTGCCTCTGCCTCCCAAGTGCTGGGATTAAAGGAGTGTGCCACCACACCCGGCTTTAGTGTATCTTTTGATGGGATGATTTGGGGTGGTTGTTTTGATCATTACAACTTTGCAGTTCTTTTATACATCTTAAATAGTAAACCCCTGCTTGTTGAAGCACAGCTGTCTATGGCTTTTCTGGTGGAATAGTTAAGGGTCTTTTAAGTAGAGGATCAAGTTATCTTCAAATAGGGGGTAATTAGACGTTTTTATATTCTATATTAGCTGCCTCTGTTGTTATTGTTGCTGTTACCAAATACCTGACTGAAAAAGCTTGTTGCAGGAGGAGTTTATTTGGCTTGTACTTTAAGGATACAGTCCATCATGATGGAAAAGGCTTGGCTGCGGGAATGCGATGTGCCCAGTTACATTGAATCCACAGTCAGGAAACAGAGATATTCAGTCTAGCACCCAAACCCACTGCATAGCACTTCCCAAATTCTGAGGGTTCTCTGCTTAGTTAAACCTTTCTGGGAATACTCTCCTAGACATACCCCATGTGGTTTCCATGGTGACGTTAAGCTCAATCAAGTTGGCAGTGAAAATGAAACAGCATAGTATCCTTTTAATATCTTTTTCTTGTCTTTTGCTCTAGTGAAGACTTTGAGCATGAAATTTAAAAACAGTGGAGACAGCATCATGGGGCAGGCTCTTGCTATGATTATCACACTGACCTTGAACTTGCTGTATAGCTAAGACTGGCTTTGAACTTGGGGACCTGAGTTAGCCTCCCACGTTCTAAGATAATATGTGTGTAGCATCATGCCCAGTCCGAGATGCTGTTTCTAAGGTCACACACATACTAATTGGAGTGTCAATATCTTTGTGAACCATAACAGGAACCTTAATTACACCCAGAGAGTCTCTTAATTCCACATAATAGAACATAATCACCAGATATTCTCTCGGGCAAAGCTTATAGGTCCATCTTTGGATGGTTTTCATTACATTACCTTAAAGGGTCTGTCTATGAAAGGCCTCAGACTGTGATCACAGCACTTAAGGCAACAAGTAGTATCTTCCAGAAGACAGGAACCTAGAGAACTATATAGTTTTAATTATATAAGGATCAGGGAAATCTAAGGAATCATCATGTGTTTAAAGAAATGGCACTAAATGTTGAAACTATTAATTTATTTGAATTTTTCTTCAGTGAGTATTAAAATGAAAATATTATAGCTTGAGATAATGATGCTATTTTATCTCATAAAATATGTATATTTCCAATTTTGAATAAGTGAGAATTAGTAACATTCATAGCTGTGACTGTTATCAATTTGTCTTTTATTGCTGAAATTTAGTTAATGTGGGTATCATCAAATCAATATTACAATAGGACATCATTTTGAGCTAAGCTCCTCAAGTAGGCCTCGATAGACCAGACAGAACACTGAAATAAAGTCACCATTCCTGAGCTCCATGCACCAAACCAGAACTAATTTGTTATTTGCATTTTTAAGAAATGTGGTTTAGAGAGAACAGTTTCCAAACAGACCGGTTTCAACTGGCATGATAACAAAGTTCTCTAAGCTTTACTCTGTAGAAAGCAAAGGAACCTGAAGTAACCTGATGTTCAGTCAGCTAGGTTCCTGTTGTTCCTTCTCCATGGCCTTCCCTTCGAAGGAAATGACTTAGAAATTACCATTCATCTTTTGGCTTTTGTCTCTATTTTTTTAAAAGCCTTTCTCTGTTTATATAAATAACCTTTAAATTTTGTTCTTTTTCTGCTCAGCCCACCAGAACACATAGTCTTCCTTGGGGAATGGAGTTTCTCCTGATTATAGAATTGGAAATGAAGCCAAATTAAAGATCTTTAAACCAAATGGTAATTTTGTCCTTTGACAATACTAAACTACATTTTCAAGAATTTCAGCAAAGTTTGTGTCCCAAACAGGCTTTATCAGATAAGAAAAAAAAAGGATACATGTTTGTAGACTTTAGGATTCATGCACTGACCTGGTAACAATATTGTATCTCAAAAAATGGAATCAGTTGCCTTAAAAGGTTTCTATGTTAATGCCTTTATTTCAAATAAAATTATGTGGAAATGTGTGATGGTTTGAATAGGAAATCTCCTCCCCAGGCTCATGTGTTGAGCACTGGGTTCCCAGCTGGTAGTGGTATTATTTTGAGATATTCTGGAAAATTTAGGACATGGGGCTTGTTGGAGGAAGTAGGTCACCATGGTTGAGTCTTTGAAGGCTATATGGTCCCTTGGTCCATTCTTTGCTCTCTGTTTCCCATCTACCAGGAGGCGAAGAAACAGATACACAGGGTATTACAAACAAGGACTGAACCCAGCACAATAACATTTCTCTTAGGCATTTTGGTCACAGCAATGCAAAAGTAACTAACACAGAAAACTGGATAAGAGAAGTTGGGGTCATTGCTGTGACTCATGCCCTGGAATGAAGTGTTTGGGATTAGTTTCTGCCACTAATGTGGGATAGGTTGAAGGGACAGCCTTCAGGAGAATCCCTAGAATGCTGTAAGCAGAACTTCATGGGGATTCTGATGGGACTTGAGAATGTGACAGGGAAGATTTAAATCAGAGAGAAAATGAAAATGAATTCGTAGAAAGGAACCGGTGCAGACAAAGCCTGTCCTTTGCTGGACTTTGCCGTGTCATCATGCAGACAAAGTCCAGCTGGCTGTGTGTCCTCTTCTCTTGTCTAATCTGTACTAACCATTTGCCTTTACAACACACTACTCTAAATTGTAGGAAATGACATTTGTGAAACTTCCTCGTTCCTCTGCCTGTCAACATTTTTCCCCCTGCAAAACCTGTATAACGACAGGGTCGGAGAGGGTCAGGCCTGAAGCTGGTTTTCAAAGGAAAAGATAGAGACAATCTCGCCATACAAACCTTTCAAAGATGGCGTTGTATTGGAGGATAAATACTTGTCTCAAGTGCCGGGATCTTTCACCCATCATATAAAGTCTTGGACCCGTCCTCTTTTCAAAAAACAGGAGACACTTTTCTCTGGGAGAGTCTCTATCCCATTTTTCCAAGTCCAGACGTGAATAAAACTCCCTCTCCCACCAACTTCTATCTCCTGGTTAGTCCAGCCTCCATACCACGTGGCCATCAACAGCCCCTGTTCAAGTATAAAATGTTGAATGAGGGGGTGGCAGCACATGCCTTTAATCCCAGCACTCAACAGGCAGGTGGATTACATGGAGTTCAAGACCAGCCTGGTCAACAGAGGGAATACTAGGAAAGCCAGAACTACATAGAAAGACCCTGTCTCAAAAAAATAAATAAATAAATAAATAAAGTCGAATGAAGGATAATAGTAATAATTTGGAGCTTGGGAGAAGTTCAGAGCTGCTGAAGGATGAACCCTCTTTATCCTAGGTCGGTGGCTGTGAGGTGAGAATAGGAGGGTGAAAACTAGAAGAAAACTGAGCTCCTAAAGCTGCAAGCCGTTACCACTGCTCAAGAGCACGTCATCTGAGCTCACCAGTAACTATAAAGTCAGTGTGGAGAAGGGAAAGGCAGAGGAAAGGAGCTGTATGGGTGTCCTCGCCGACTTCCTCATGCAGGATCCCTTTGCAGACCATTCCTGGCCTCTCACACTCAGCAGGGAAGCAGCCTCTCCACTGTGCAGTGAGCAGCTGTTTGAGCCATGCCCTGAATCACCGCCCCTAGTGAGGTAGCAGGTAACTGTTAGACCTGCCTATGACCTTGAAGTACATGCCCCTAAGATGTGGCCACTGGGGGACCCTTAAAACCTGGGATACTGGAATGGACCAGGGCACAGCTCGCCAGAGAACAGCATTGGATGGTGCCTCACCCTTCCAAGATCCTGTGACAAATTCCTTTATTCTGTCTTGTGAGTTAACCCCCAAATAAATTCCTCTGCTCATTAAATAGACTTTGTGGATTGCTAGTGATTTAATCCCAATGCTACAGGGATTAACAAATACAGCCTTCCCTACAAGTGCTCGACCACAAAGAGGTTTTCCCTCACAGAGGTCTCGTCCTACTTGCATTTCACAGAACACCCAGGGGAGGAACACTCCTTTAGTTCATGCTGCTTCCAAATCCTGAAAAACATTCACAGAATAATCTAAGAATACCGTCTATTGAAAAGATGTGCCAGCAATAAAAATGTAAGGTTCACTGAAAGGATGTGCTAGCAATAACAGTATTAGAAACGCTACAAGATGCAATTTCTTGCAGAACCAGGATTGCCTAGAAATAGTCCACACCTGTAACCTGACAATGGAGAGCACAGGTTTGGAATCAGACTAGGGACTGGGTTGTAACTCCTGTACAAGTCACTTACCATTTATAAACCTCTATTTCCCAGCGGGTGGGTCAGTGATAAGAATGTGTGTGTACCCCAAGGGGATGCTAGGAAGACTAAATGAAGTCCATGTCAGTAAACACCAGCCCGAGACATTATCCTCATCACCACACCCTCAAAGTCTTTCAGACACAATAAGAACATTAGGAAGTAGGGGAGCACATTTTAAAAATAAAATTTATCTTCCCAGGCAGTGGTGGTGCATGCCTTTAATCTCAGCACTCCTGGTAGAGGCAGGTGGATCTCTGAGTTTGAGGCCAGCCTGATCTACAGATCCAGTTCCAGGACAGCCAGGGCTACACAGATTTTGAAATACCCTATTTTGAAAATATATACATAAAAATAAAACCTATCTTTTCTTTGCAGGTTTGATTGTGAACATAAGACTTTTTTGGTTCAGTGCTTAACATTTCAATCAGTTGGGGTTGCTTTTTCAGCATCCTAAGATTATGTGTATATTCAGAAAAATATTATTTACTCAACTTTCTTGGATTTGAGATTTGTTTTTTTAATGAACAGCAAATTCTCTTGGCTACAGGCAAGCTGACTCAGTAAAAAGAATGTTAAACCAAATTATGAAAACTAAATTTATTCGATGACCTTGTCACCAGGTGGGGGCAGGGCAAGTGTCTTCACCCTAACCTAGTTTCTTAATGCTTAGTTTCCTTATTCATCAAATTTGGTGACTAATTGGCCATAGTTGAATCAGCAATAGAGGACTCTATGGCCTGACTCTAAAATGCCCCCCGCCTCATGTGTTTGAAGCCTCCTTCTACCTTGGTGATATTTTGGGAAGAGAGAAAATGTCAAAATCATTACAGTCACTTGCTAGGAATTCTGGACATTATTAGAGCAAGTGATAACTTTGATGAGAGATATGTTACTAAGTAAAGAATTAGCTGGCTAGCAAATTTCCTGTGGAGGAGATAAGGGGAGGATCTCAATAGTAGACTCACTTCCTTTTCGTTGAGGCAGTCATTCATGGAACTTCAGGTAAAGACCATGGAAACTATAGAGTGTCTGGAATGGGTAAACACAACTTTTGTGAAATAATATGCTGATAAACAAAAAGAAAACCAAAATCATGGCATGGGGAAAACAATGTCAGGAAAATTCTATAAACAAAATGTCAGTTACATCAGAAAAATCACAGAATGTAGCCGGGTGGTAGCGGCGCATGCTTTTAATCCCAGCACTCAGGAGGCAAAGACAGGTGGATCTCTGTGAGGTCGAGGCCAGCCTGGTCTACAAAGTGAGTTCCAGGACAGATACCAAAACTACACAGAGAAACCCTGTCGCCAAAAACAAAACAAACAAACAAACAAAAATTAACGGAATGCAATTTGAGAGACTATATGCCATAAAATACTACCCAAGGGGGTAGACTGGTCACAGCCCATCAATGAGAAAGTTAGCAAGGAAGAGAGGAAATCCAAAGCTCAGGAATGAAAAGGAAATACTGGATGGTAGCCAAACTGGGCAACTGGACGAGAAGGAAGGGGAGAGAAGCGTGCAAGCAATAGAGACAGAGAAGGGAGCAGGGTTTTGGGGTGAATGAAAAAAAAAGGAATAAAAAGGAAAAGAAAGGACATGACTGCTCTTAGGTATGGTAGAGGAGAAAGTTTATTGTAGATATATGGGAGAGCATCGTCAGAGGCAGGGACATTTCAGAGGGTTCAGAGTAGGACACCACCAGACTGAGCAGGGCGGTGTGGGAAAGGGGGATGGGGGGAGGGGGAAGGGATCAGCAGCAGCTAGGTGCAGCAGCCAGGAGGCCAAAGGTACAAAAAAGGGGTGGGTAACCAAAATGCCTGTATTATTTTGGAAAGAGCAGCTCAGTCCCTGGGCTGGAGAGTTCAGGATAGAGGATGGGGTATGCAAGCCATACCCTGTGACAGGTAGGGACTGAGGAATGCTGGGAGAACTGGCAGCCAGGTCCAGCCTTGATATGTTAAATAGGCACTTCATTCATTTATCCTAGATTTGAAATTTAACAAGGGAGAAGACCGAAGTGAGATCATGGAGCACCCATGTAATCCAGTGGAGTTAAGTTTTGAAATGTTTGACCAAAATAGTTAACTACTTTAAAAATATTTTTTAAGTGTGTGTGTGTGTGTGTGTGTGTGTGTGTGTGTGTGTGTGTGTGTTCACTTGGGTGCTCACATTCAGCAATCAAAAGAGGGCATTGGATCCACTGGAGCTTGAGTTATAGGCAGTTGTGAGCTGCCTGATATGGGTGTTGGGAACCAAACTCCGGCCCTCTGCAGGAGGACAGCACTGTTGACTGCTGAGCATTTCTCCAGTCCTAGTAGTATTTATTCTTTAAATATTTACTTATTTGGAAAATGATTTAGGAGGCAAACTGTTAAAACTGATTATATGGGACCCAGGGCAGCTTAGCCAAACAGCTGCCGTGACAGGCTTAATAAAAACCAGCTAAAAAGCAGGCCTGAGTTTCGGTTTACTGGCAGGTAGCACCTGGTAGTTCTAGGAAAAGCCATAAGATGACACCGCTTAGGTGACCAGCATTTAAGGGGACATATCTGACATTCTAAACATTCTAACCTTTAGATAAGATTAGATAAGATCACCAAGTGTCCCTGAACCCACCATGCCCCTATTCCCCTTTCACCAAGACACCTCTAGACAAATGTCAGCCAGTCAGGGCCCTGAACCCTGGAAATGCCCTCACCCCCAATCTCTACTATGATAAAAACCCTACACCACCTGGGTCCTCAGAACTCTCTAATTCTACTGCTGTGTTGGACAAATGGAGGGTCCAAGCTGGAGCTTGAATAGGCTCTTTGCATTGGTATATGGATTTGGACTCCTTGGTGGTCTTTGGGGGACTCTGTGACTTGGGCATAACAGTTATGGTGGCATACACCTTAGAAGCAATACTTGAAAGGCTGAGACAGGAGGATCTCAAATTCAATGCTAGCCTTGACATACCAAAATAATTATACAAAAACAAATTCTACAAGAGATAAAAAAAACAACAAAAAGTTATTTTAAATGAAAGTAGGTTTGAACCAGATGAACTCATTCAAGTGTTGATATTAAAAGGTTTGTGGTCATCTTATTAATTAATTATTCCTGGGTTTGTTCGTTTTATCGAGCTCTAACAAGGCCCACGGAGGCTTGCTTTGCTCCACAGCCACCCCAATGTGATCCCAGGATGACCTTCCTACCTTCTACACCAAGCCATTAGGAGAAAGGGGACTAACAGACTAATTAGATTGGACACTAAGCAAATACCAGGCCTGGTCCACACCCAGGCCCCAAATGCTGACACCACAGGAACATAGTGTGTGGGCCTTCCCAGCTGTCCAAGACTGCCTACCTCAGACTTTTCAGCTGACACTGAGAATGAGTTTTGTTTTGCTGTGTTTCATAGTTTGGCTTACTACATTAAAGTGGGACACATTCGTGGCAAAAAGACCATACCCAAGCTAAGACATCTAAGGTGACATCTGGAGATGTGACCAGCTAGCTGCTGGGCTAATAGGAATATGCGAATTGACAGACTAACCTTTTCTGTTTAGGGCAGCTGAAACTTTGAGACGAGCTTCAAAAGAGGATTCAATTTTCCCCACAAAGAAAAAAAAATACCTCTACATATCTTAATAGTTGGTAGGAAATCTGATATTTTCTGCTCGGCTCCTGGAACTAGAATTAGAAGCTTCTGTTCCCCCAAACCCCCACCCCGGCAAAGACAGGGTCTCACTCTGTAGCTCAGGCTGGCCTTGAACTCACAGCGATCCTCTTGGCTCAGCCTCTGTGCAGGGATCACAGGTATACACCATCACGTCCATCAAGGCTTGTGGCTTTTGACTCACACTTAAGATTGTTTTACTATTCCTCGTTCTGCTTCCCCCTCAGCAGTTTGTGCTCCCTTCAACTGTACCAATCTTCCTTTGAGCCAGCTGTGGTGCACGCATGTAATCCCAGTGGAGGCAGGAGGATTGTGAGTTTGAGGCCTCGGCTGCAGGGTAGGTTCCAGAGCCAGCTTGAGCTACACAGTCCCGAAAACTCATTCTCTGAAGTCCTGAAAAATAAGCAGAGGGTCATGACATTTGCTGCTGCTGAAGATCAAACTTATGACCTTTCCCTGCATGTAGATGCATGGTATTGACATGGGGCAGTTTCATGTAAGACTTTGAAAGGTGCTCACAGTCTAATTGAGCAAATGTAATCAGCAAGGATCATGGTAATACAAATACTCCATATCCTGTCAGTGGTTCTGCATTGTAGATGAGCTAATTTTAAAAACTAGCTTACTTATAGGCACACTACAATCCAATCACATGGTTTAATGTGAAATAAGCACCTGTCATATGAAGTTGATGTGCTGTAACTGTGGACCAAGTCACATCCATTCCTCACTTCTGTCCCTCTTCACCAACATGTCCTGGCTTTGATTCTGTGTCCCTAGATTCTCACCTCTGTGGTAGTTTTTCTGTCTAAAATGCTCATCTCCAAATACTCCAATTCCACCTATCTTTTAAATACCAACACAAGTTCTGTTTTCCCATTGAAGGTTATTCATCTATTGCCAACATCTC